TATATACATATATAAAATTTATTTAATAAATTATAAAAATATGACGATTTTAATTTTTTTTATAAAATGTCAAATAAAAATCTTCAAAATTCTGTTATAATAAATTTGTATCAATTTCATATAATGATTGTATAAATCTTTGTTTTTATTATATTATATTTTACTGTTACTGTTTTGAATACAAAAGAAGATCTTAAAAGAAGGAACGTTTATTAAATGTGATGCAGCATAATATCATCGCCAAACACATAAAAATTATAATATTTCGAAATTAATGAAAATAATTAACGGAGAAATTGGCGACGATAATTAAATTAAAATAGACACAGTGTTTTCTATTGAATTATAAATTATTATGAAAATTATTGTTGAAGGTTAATTCTTAATTAAACATATTTCCTTCGTAGTTATATAACATATTTAGTTAAAAATATTATTATCCGGATTATTATCAGTAAAAAAAGATAACGACTTGTTTAACATTCTGCGACGTCGCGAGTTGACATAATTGATGCTGCTATGCTAGTTCAAACGTCTCAAGTAACATTTATTGTAATAAAATCCCAAATCAAAAACCATATCGGCGATGCCATCGTATGCTGAACGCGTTACAGTATATTCGACGATCTGTAGTTGCTTAACAACAAATTTTCTCGCTTCTGTCGCAACGATGATTTCACCGTGGCCGAAAGTACTCGCCATAATTATGTTCGGATCGACATGTTAGATCACGCTTTCTTTAATTTTTATCAAAACAATACATATGGTATGATGAAAATAAATGCATTTATCCAATGCGATCCAAACGCGTTATGCAATAATCAACTATAAAATATATGTTGAAATATATGCCGAAAAATGTATGCAGTAACGTGAAAGAAAATGCTTGTTGAGAAATTTTCAAGATCATTAAAACAGTTACAATAGAAATTAAATGAAAAATGAAAAAATTGATTTACTAATTGTTATATTACGAAAAAAAATACATTTAAAAATACAAGTAAAAAATTCCGACTTGGTCAGACTCACGCTTTTTTCTTTTTATTATTTTTTATTATTTTTTATTACTTAAGAATAAACAAAATTAAATCCGTAGTTATCCACATCACATTATGCTTATATTATTATTTGTCTTAGAAAGATATTATTTGTCTTTAGTTTTTCGTAGATATTTATAATGGAACGTAGAGTGTCGTTTGAAGGCGAAAGATTTCTTGGTTTTTCAAACAAACAATGCTTTACGTTCCACTACGAATATCTATGAAAAATTAAAAATTTCTAAGATCTTGTCTATGTAGTATTTTTCGTAAAATTTTTCCGTTAGGATACTTTATTTCTTCAGTTTGGACTACTCTTACAAAAACTCTATAAATACTAGCCAATATATTGAAAGATAATAATTACTTACTTGTTTTGAGTACTAAGAGCACAAAACAACAGTGACTTTAATATTTAAAATAAGCAATTAATTACTGTCTTTTAGTATTACGTTGGTCAGTATTAGATTTTTGTAAAAAAAAAACCAATTGCTAGAAATATGAGAAATTAGATGGGAAACAATACTCAAATGTTTCTGTGATCGCTTCATTGTAGACAAGATATTTCTACAAGTTGATGTACATTAAAAACAGTCAGCCACAGCAAATAACAAAAAATTGCTCGATTGTTAATGAGCTTTACAACTTCCGTGCAGATACTATTCACTATTTGATGAGATTGTGACAAATTTGCAATCTGCCACATCCGCCTTTCTCGAACAAAGCTGTTTTTAATCATCGATCATAATGATTCGCACCAATCCATCACTTTCGCTTGCCCGCGCCTTCATCGCGACAATAAGACTTTCAGTCCTTGCACGTCGTTGAAAGTTCATCTGCCGTTTCGTCAAGTAATTATTTACGGTTAGCGTGAGGACGACGAAAAGTGCTGGTGCGCGAAGGTGAGAATCGGAGAAAGTCGTCGCAGAGGAAATCGTTCTAAAACAAACGACATCGACGTCGGTCATAGCGAACCCTCTTTTGTCACGCAACATATCATAGAAATGATAAGGTACGTGTGCTACTTACGCAAAAAATATTCTATCGTTCAATGACCTGTAATCAGTCGTAGTCCTCAACAAATCCTGTCTCCTGAAGAATGCTCGTGATATAAATGATATAAATGATACAAATGATACAAATAATATAAAAAACAAACGCTACAAATGATAATTGAATTTATTTTTATGTCAGTAAAAATGTATCTGATGTAATGTAAGACAAACAGTAAAATATCAACAAAATGCAATGCATACGAATCAAGGCGATAAAATTCCGTTTAACCTGAGAAAAGGAGCTTATTATAATTTGCCCACATCCGTCAAGCGTTATGAGGAATTTCACTTCGCCTGGCTACAAAGCCCCCTCATGCGGATGTGAAACAAGTTTATTCAAACGATTATTGCTCAATGAGAAAGGAATATTATTCGAAAGCGGTATGAAGCCTATAATCGATTCGATTTCCGTGGCGTATAGTCTACTTTCTTTTGCAACAACAAGTTCAAGGTCGTTTTTAAAAACTCGAGGAATTATTACGTTTATTTCATGCATGCGTATAATTCCCTTTATATTATGAAAAATATGTTTTATTAAATTTCAATCTAAGCAATAGTGAGAAAGATGGATTGGGATAGGCACAGAAGTAATGACCATTATGTTTTCGCGTTATGTAGAATTTTATTTTTTATGCTGTTATATTGTATTATTATAAAGATTGGAAATCTGTATTTATATGGAACATCACTTGTATCAGTTCAACATTCATATGTAACATATTATATTTTATCATAAGTACAATTTACAGTACTGTTCAATAATTACAGAAATAATTAAATTTATTTGTTATTAAATTATGATATATTTTAGTATATTACAAAAGTTTACAGTAATATCTACTATGAATATATAGAATTATCTATAAACATTACATTAGACAAAAAATAAAACCTTCAGAGGTTTCAATGAATACATATTTTCACACAAATAACATTTATAATATATTTATAGTACATTTCAAATGATTTGAGTAATCACTTGTTAAAATTGAGATATCTATTTTCATCGAAGTTATCCTCAAGTTCTTCGACTATAACTATTTTACTTTTCGGCTTACGCATTTCGAGTCTCTGCTTCTGTTCTGCCTCTGTAAGTTCCGCGAGATTCAGCGGTAGAACTATTATCTTCCGTGGCTCATGATACTCGATCTCTATACTACTACCATCAGAAAAAACGAGTGTTGTAGGATACGTTCGTTCGTGTATTGGTCTGTGCTTCTTCGTTATCGCCGCCGTCCAGCAATTAAAACTTCTCTGCAAGACAGTCACAGAGTTGCCAATTCGTGCGAGCGAAGTGATCATTCTGAAATAAGGAAATATTTTTGTAGCTTACAAGGTTATTAATATTATCCAGAATATAAAATTCATTTTACATATTTGCATGATGACAAGGCGACTCTGATCAAACTCTGATTAACTTATTTATTGATTTTATTTTATTAATCTTATATGGAGAGCTGACAGTGAATCTAATGGACCCATTTAATTATATTCTTTATGTTACATTTGCAAATTTGAATTACTGTTATTAAAATAATCTTAGTATTCGTTTTTTTTTACGAATACATTTTAATTTCTTGAAATTAACTAATGCCTTTTAATAAATATATTAAATAGATCTTATGAAGTTAATATCAATAACTGTTACAGATTTTGACGTTAGCTTCAGAGAGTTCGTCTAAATCATTCACAAGTATAATTTGATTACAAAATAATAACTTTAAAATAATATTGGAGATAACTCTTATAAGTTACAATTTCAAAAAACAGTCTTGTCAAAGACAATTTTCTCTTTATTTGTACAATGATTAAAAAAATATATTTTATTATGGTGAATTTGATCATTCGTACTACATCGAATTAATGCACATTAAAGGTTATTTTATGTAAAATATCTGAATGCAATGGTATAATAAATAAAATGATAAATGAAAATACATGATATATCATGTATGACAATGAAATTATATATTCTGTTAAATGACAAAATACAACAATATCATTATTAGATTTTTAATCATTTAAACTGTTTCATATGCATTTACTTTTTCTATTAATTTATAGCAGCATTTAATATACATCAATGTAGTTTAATACAAGTAACTGAATTCACTATTAAATACTTCACATTACACGAATATCATCTCTATCAACACTAACTTAAAAGTAATACAACATTAATGTTATAATTTATTAACTTCACATTTAACAATGTAACTATTATGTACAATATATTATATTACATTTCTATTGTCGAGTGTAAAGTTACATTGATCTATTATTTTTATATCTTTTATTATCAATGTAAATTAATTTTAGTTTAATTTATTTTTTATCTTCTTTTTAATTTCTAAGAACTAGTTTCCATCAATGCAATGTAGATTAACTTTAATCTCGATTCAATTTGCTCTTCATCTTTTTTTTAAATTGTTACAACTAGAAAGAGATAAAGAATTAGTTGAACAAAGATTAAAATTAACTAATTGAATTAGAAAGAGATAAAGAGTAAATTAAACTGAGATTAAAATTAATCTAAATTGATATTAATAAAATAGATATTAGTATTTACAGACATTTTTTATAGGTTATGTCATCCATGCTTGGCAATATCGAGTATAGTGACACGTTACTTATTTGATCATTTAAAGTTCTATCTCACGCTCATTAAATCATTGTGTTTACATTCATAAAACAACGAGAAAACCTCACGGAGACGATGAAACAAAGTTTACCTGCCGAGATTATCGACGAGATGAGCGACTTAACATAACGACTTGAAGCTCTGCGCAATTGGATCATCGGGACGATCACGTGGCGTTCAGACGCGATGAATGAACGGCGACGACTGCGCGCGCTACTGTACAATCGAATTGCGATTATCGAAATATGTTTAAAATGAGCGGTAATCGACGCTACCAATTCCGGCAGTCTATGCGTTTCTTTCGGTGCGGTGTACACACACGGGTGGTGAGTGCTTTTTGCGTGCGATTCGTCCTGAGAGGAGGCTCGATCGGTAGAGTTTGGCAATCGTGCGTCTCCACAAGACGGTGAAGGAGGTGCCACGACTGCCGGGAGAGGCGACGGAAGATTTAACTTGATGGGGTAAGTCAATCCTCTTCGACCTTGATTCTGATCGAGAAGCGGAAGGACGTGGATGGCTATCCACGTCCTCTTCTCGCGAAACGCAAATGGGATATCGTGCGTGTGCCGTACGACGAAGAGAGGAGGGTGCGTTGCGACGAGTATTACTCTTAAGCGTTCTGAGGGGACGATGATTTTGCGATGTGATAAGCGACTTTTCGTATTTTCATGCGCTGTACGCGCCCTCGGACTCCTCCTGGCAATGGCCGGGTAGCTCAGCATAATCCGCGCGATTCCTGCAAGGAAAGGAATTGCGACACTTTTTTTAAGCACATTGAGAATGGCGAGCGGCGATCATGGAGATTCGTGATCTCCCAGCACGCTCGGGAAAAGGGATGGGGAAGAGCATAAATCTTCCAAATGTCGTTAAAACAATGTGTGTTAAGCTGATTAGTAGAATTAGTCAAGTTAATGAACTGGAGGTCGATTGTGATTTCAGGGTTTTTAAACTAAGGACTCTTTGATTAAAGATTGTTTTTCTTTTAGAAAGCATAATTGACACAAATATCCATTCTTCGATGTTATATATCAAAGAAGCAATAATAACCCAATTCCTTGAATAATATATTGTTATTTTTAACTTCCATGTGTGTCAAAATTAATCAATTTCTGTAATTAATTTCGAAGTAACCAACATTTATATTAACGTATGTGCTTAATAAATAATAAACTAAATTATTAATAAATTATATCACACGTAAAAGTTTTAAGATATCGCCAATTATGGTCGAGCATTCTAAAACGTAAGACCGCATTTTTGGCTATGATAGATTTATTTACTTTATAGTTTACTTTATAGACAAAAGTTTTTTTTACGTTTGATCATGGTGGAAGAAAATAAGTGAAACAATTTAGATATGCAGTAGTCGATTTGATTACAATCAATTAGAATTGGTCGTAAGAATTCAAAAAACAATAGGATAAAATTAAATTGGACAGAATTGAATCTAGGACAGAATTTGATTTACGTTTGCTAGTCTTTAAATTATTTAACTTCATTGTATTAGTTAAATTAACAATATATTGAATAAGAGCAGTATTATAAAAATGTTTACAAATAATTCAAATTATATAGGTATAATTGGATTTTATGAATTTATCAGTGTTGGTCTTCATCGAATAATACAATGAATAACAGATAAGATGATATTTGTGTCGACTATCTCCTAAAAGAAAACAATTATAGTCTGATCATGAAATAGCATATGTATGATCGGTCTAACATTTTTTTATCAAATCGCGATAGTCAGCGCGAGATAGCACATTTTTTTTCTCTCGCATCATTGCAGAATGAGATAAATCATATCAGTCAATTTTTTATCAAAAATGTTAAATCTCTTGTCATGGCTAGATTAGAAGATCTCTATTTTTAACTAGTGTACCGCAAAAATCTCCAAGTATGCCGTGAAAATTTAAAAAAATATAAAAAGAAGTAAAAAAACGAATGAGGTGCTAAGTAAAAAGTATTTTAAAAATTGTGAAATTATCTAAATTATATTATTTACTCTTATTTTAATCAATTGCATGTCCTTATCAATTTTTAATACGATAAAATACAAAATAAAATAAAAATAAAACATTGGAACTTCACTTTTTATTTCTGCATGTTTTGACAGTATTTAATAAAAAGATATGTGCTAAGCGTTTGCGAATTGAAAAAAGTTGAAAAATCTTAAAAATTACAAAAGTAAGCAAAATTCACTAGATGACCAATAAAATTATAAATTATCTAGCGAATTTGTTCACTTTTATAATTTTCATGTCATTTCAAAATATATATATTTATTCCCTAAATTAATTCGGGAATCAAAATGGCCAATTCCTACTGGCAGTAAAAAAAGAGAGAGTTCCGGATGGGCACTGGCAATTTCATTTTTATTTTATAGTTACAGATCGTTTAAAAGATATGTACAAGAATCTTCATCTGCATATACATATTCATAATTATTCGACATGAATAGTTATTACCTCGATTATTACACATTCAAATGAAATAGCGTTATCTGAAAAGAATTTTAATCCCTCTCTGTTTCCTCAAAATGTTCCCTTAATTTCGCGATTAAACTCCTGTCGTGAAACTTTTCAATCGATTCATTTATTTATCTCGGGGATAATAAATGTTACATAAAAAAATAATGGGGCTTATATTTACCGAAATGGAAATCTTTTAGATGTTGTTGTATATGCATTCGAAACGAGAAAATGAAGATATTCCAAGCAGCATCATGTACACAATCGGAATATAATGTCTTAAAAATGTCATTAAGTCGTTTTTTATAATTGCCACGACTATGTCTTCTATATAAATAAACAAACCATTTTATAATTATTGCAATATATAAAATAATTTATTCAATAGTATATTCACTTATGTATATTAATTTATTCAACTATATATATTAATTCTACATACAAAATTTGTATAGTTATTATCTTCATAGTTGCAACCTTTATGTCTTTCTCTGAGCATAAACATTATATCACAAAAGTTTTAAAAAACTTTAAAATGTCTTATGTTCCGATTGTGAACATGTGCTGTCTAAGATAGATGTTTATTCCCGGATTAATGAAAATAAAATCATACAATTTCACACATTCGACACGAAATGGCACGCACAATCGTATTTGGTACTCAAATCTATTCGGACGATTATTCTCCCAAGTTATAGCTATAAAATCACATTTTTTTTACCACCGTGCAATTTACAAAACTTACAACAATTAAATCTTTTTAATGTATAATACAACAATAATAATAAACGCGTACATGCCTCATGCGAATGATCAACCTTTTTTACATTTATCGTACGACAACCAAATAAAATATAACGTTATATTATGGGGGGATATAATATAATGTGTCAATATCACATTAGTATAAAATATCATCTGTAATTATCTTGAGTGGGGATTTAGTTTGATGCGTAAGAAACAAATGGGACCGTGTGAAAATAATGAAATTTCATATTGAGATAAATATTGGCTCCATGAAATATTATTTTTATTATCATAACGTCAATAATAATTATTTATTGTAACGTTAATATAATTCTCTAATTCTTTAACAAAAATTTAACTACATTAAAAAAATCTTTCAATGTCCATATATTATTTTCTTTTTAAATATTGTGTTTTTATTTTATATTCAATGTTAAATATTAAATATTAAAATTAAATATTAAATACGATTCTTTATTTTATATAATTTATTTGATAAATGTTATAAAAAATACGTTTATTTGTGCAAAATTTCCCGTAAGATGCATCATTCACTTCTTATTTTTATTTCGATACTGTTTCAATTCAATATTAGAATTATTTTTTAGTAAATAATAATTTTTACTATCTTCTTAATTTAAATATTTTTAATAAAAAATCATATTTAAAATAATGTTTAGAAAAAATATAAATATTTTTTGTCACAGCTATGATATTAATTCATATATGTTTTCGACTTAAAATAAAATTTATTAATAAAAATTATAAAAGTAAAAATTATTTATATTGCAGATGCGCGCAATATACAAACCTTTTACTTATATAATTTTTTAAAAACATTCTTTATGAAATATTTTCAAATATCAATACTGAGAAGAAAAAAAAATATATAAAAATTTGCATATCTTTTGATATCGCGCATGCTGATGTATATTCGTTTTTACGCATTTAAAATTTTATATTCTATCTACAATATTACATCCTATGTACATAATAATGATAAATGAGAAAATTCGTGCAAAGATTTATATGAATATATAAAATCTATATAAAATCTATATAAAATATGAATCAGAAAAAGATTTTAAGGAAGGGAAATTAAGTCCTCGTCGAAGAGTTGCTATATTCTGCCATTCAGGTCAATCATCTTCTCATCGTTATGTCTGTAAAATCAAAGTCTTGCTCTACGTCATATCTACAATTACATAGCTCACTAAATAAATAAGATGAAATGGCATACATATATATGCGATTAAAGAAATTCAATCATAAATGGATATTCTATTCTCGTATTAATGTTTAACATACTATCTCTCATTGTGCATAATATTTATACAATTAAATGTAATTAGAATAATACGAATAATGAAATATGAAGTCCGCTGTTATATTAATAGTTAATAAAATCATGCAATTAATAATGCTTAATGGATAATAAAAAAGTGCAATACAAAAAAAGATCAGTCAACATCTCCATTTTCTACATGCATAAAAAATCTTAATACATAATCATTAGATTTTATATAAAAGCTTAATTCGCAAAGTATTATTTTTATTTTATTATTAGCATAGGTTCAGGCTTTCTAAAAAAATTATTTGATAAAAAAGATTGGATGCAAAGCACAAAAGCAATATTAAAGTATGCATGTATACATACCTGTACAGAACATAGTGCTGAATTAAGAAAAATACATCAAATGCCACAGAAAAGAATCCAAGACCGAATTTGGTTGGATCTCCAAAAATACTCTCCCAATCATCTGAGATAAAAATTTATGACGTTAATATCTTATAAACATTAGTTTACGCATTCTTTATACAAAAGTAAGTTTAATTGTATATTTGCATGTTTACCATAGTTATAAGCGTTGAGTATCATCTGTAGCATTGATAAAATGCCACCCGTAAAATCTAAAAATACATTTCCTATGCTCCAGCCGACAGTGGATTTTCTCCTATAATTGTAAAATGCTTGCGGTACGTATTTAATAAGCGTTACGCTAAGCTTAACGTAGCTACAGTAATAGAGAAAATCTAGCCATTGGATTGTCTTCATGGCAGATAATATCAAAGATATTAGTATAAAAGTCGCAAATATCCCATGGATAATACGTGCAGTCGTTGATACTCTTTGATTACCAGTCTGAAGTAAAAATAAATACGATCAAATTTCAATTTTTACAAGTAGCTACTTTAAGAGGATCCTATATTACCAATTAAATCATATAATTTTTATATAACAAATACTTTTTTCTCGTTAATACGTATCTATAAGGTCGAGTTTATGTCAAGAACGACTAAAAATTTCGAAATTAATATATTTTTTACCATTTCTTAGTATAACATAGCGTCTCAAGCTGTCAAGTGACAACATTTGCTTGGTACAGGAGTTTTGCAATCTACTTATAAAATAATAATCCACAAACACGTAGTTTGTACGAATAAATAACGTCAAGTTCTTAGAATTAGACTTAGACGCTTTATCGCGATGAATTTGTTATACGAAAATTGACATGAACGTGCGATTATTATGTTGCGTGTATTATGGGTTGCGTTGGAAAAATAGCGGTCTCTGGTGACTTCAGACTTTAGGATCCTCTTAAATATGTGCTGTCTTTATATTTAATTACCTCATGAATAAAACATTGTCCGATAACTATTATACTAGCAAATACTGCATGTAACGAAAAAAATATATCATTGATTTGTACAGGATTCAAGCCTTTTGGATATCGTTCGAAATATTCTTTCTGAAAATATTTTAATAAATTAATTGATCGTCATAATACGCGCATTTTTATTTCACATTCTTACTAAAAATTATTTATTTATAAAAATATCTCAATGTTAGCGTTCTCTCTCTCTTTTTTATTTTATTGCAAAATATAGAAACAAAGCAATGTCTTACCTCAATCTCAGGTATCCAGTATAGGCCGCAATTGAACAGTGCGTACATAAGAAAACCGACAAGATTTAGTGACACGTAATCAAAATTAAGACCCACAACACTTTTACGTTTATAATTAATATAGATTTGTGGATAGAAGCTTACGCTCCATGCTAAAAAATATATCCATCCAACCACAGCACTGATGTGATATAATGTATCTGATTTCTCTATTGTTATTCTAACAAATGCTTGGGAGAAACTAAAAAGAGATATACAAATTATTTTTTTTATATACACTGTTAAAATATTATTTTAAAAAATATGTTAAATAAAAACAGAAATAGAATTTGCTCACTTTAAATCGATATTATGTAACTGATCTCGCGGTATAATAATAATTTTATACATAGACATTTTTCAACAGTTTTGATAATAATTGCAAATTTCGAGGTAAATTTATTTCATACAACTTTCTGAAAACTGATTTTAAACAGTATTAATAAGTTTAAATAATAAATATAGTAGCATTGATTCCGGTAGCAAAATTTCATCACTGATATATATTTAATAACTTTCTTATCAGTATTACAAAAATATTAAAATTATTTATAAATAAATTATAAAAAAAGTTATATATAAAATTATTTAGACACGGTAATTATTAGACACTGCAATTGAAGGAAATAATCTGTTCAACATCTGGAGACAGACTAATGAAACTTTAAGTTACAGCTTGACAAGTTTAGGTCAAGAGGCTATCTGGGCAATCTTAGCAGTCTTAGTGCAATGGAACGTGAATTTTACACTGATCTTTTCAAAATTAATCGAAGATAAGAAGGGAACGAAAGCAGTGCCATAGGTTTCTGTATTTCGCTGTTTATTATTTCACAATACTTGATTATGAATGTTTATATCAAATGGTAAATATACGTTCGTAATCAAATGTTATTTAAAATATTATTTAAAATATTAACAGCCGATTGGAACGTTAAATCAAAATGTAAAAAAAAGAACTCGAAAAATTTCTATAAAACATTCCTATACTTACTCCGTGATATTACTAGGGGTTACATTAGCGCTAACAATCAAATGACCTGCGCTCAGGCCTTTAACATAAATAATCCAGTCTATTTTTGAGTCTCCCGGTATAATAGAAAAGTTTGATGGGTTTGTAGATAGCAGATCAGGATGCTGTACATCTATCGTAACGACTGCAGGTCTGCTATCAGATTCTAACGGTTCCCTGTAAAGTAAGATGTGGCTAGTAAAAAATCTCTTTTTAGTATATACGCATGGTTGTTTAATATATACGCATACAATTCTGAAACACATTTATTGACATAAGCCTATCATTCAAGCTATCATTGATTTATCATTCTGTAATTGAATGATAAAGTCCGAAAACAATATTACATTTTAACGTCATTAGATGTCTGTTGTTATCAGTTTTAGAGTATAAAGAAGGACAAAACGAATTCTGTCGCCATGACATGCTTAGATTAATTAATACAAGCTTAATGTGGGTGAAGGTGAACACAAATATATTAGTTTTAAAGAATTTTTTATCATGCATATATACAACAAAGGTTTCTACTAATGTACTTAATTTATCTCACAGACATAAGTAATAACTATGGATTTTCCAGCAAGAGAAGTATAAGCTCTCAAACCAATGAAAAACACAGACAATAGAAACAAGACAATAAATTCTCATATAGCACAGGTCATTCCAGCAATATTATAGCAACACTACACTAAATATTACAGCAATATTGCTGCAAGATTCTGTGCTGTGTATGGATTTCAACCTATCAGAAATTGTATCAATAGAGCATTTTCTGTAGGTTAAAATCTATTGTCTGTGTGTAATTCCCTGTTGCTATCATTTGTGCTTTTTATTGTGGCTAAATTAGAATAGAATGAATTGTTAATAGAATGAATTGTTATATCCTTGTTGTTTGATAATATTAAACAAAGATGAAATAATTCATGAGACACATGTGTCATTTGTATCTCTTGCTAGAAAGTATCCTATATCAGCACTGTCAACATATACATGTCCCTAAAAGCAATATAACAGCTCATATTACAACTTTCAATAGCCAATAAAATGTATAAATATTGGACGATATCCACAGTGCAATTCAATGTAATAGCTCATGTTAGTGATGCATAACAAGCTACTCACGTTAGTGATAAGTTGAATGAGCTCTGCTGATTGAGTTGTATTTTTAAATCCTGTGTTGATGCCCTAAGGACATGATCTCCCTGAACACATGTCAAAACTGTAAATATGAACGACATGTAATCTATAGTAATGAAAATGAGAACATTCCTACTAAACACAAACTAATAATAACATTACATAAATTATTATAATTTCCTATTTAACTATATGAACCATATTCCAAAATTTACTATCAATGCTGAAAATCTGAAGTGCAAATATAGATTTTTCAGCACTGGCAATGAATTTTAATATATGAATATAACATATGTTGTACATAATAATTACATGACTGTGTAATTGTTATGTATGTTATATTCATATATATATATTGATGAGTGGAAAATTATAGTATTGTCATGTAATGTTAAATATTTATATTGATGAATGGAAAACTATAAAACTATAAATTATATGATTCTACATATTTATATTAATGAAAGATTATAATATTATGATGTAATGTTACTATTACTTTCTTTGTCTTTAGCGGATTGTATATACTTCTCTATGCTTCTTTCTTGATCTCACCTGGTAGTAACAAGACCCACGAGTATCGCCACAAAGCCATGTTGCACAATAACTGAAACAAGATAACGTACCACGTTTAGGTTGATATTATCGCTCCTCCAATGAGGTAGCAATTAATACAGTTATCGTTGCAAGAACGCCATTATTATCGCGCTCTTTTGCGTCCAGCGCGGCTGGTTCCAAGGAGTTAGGGCTCCCGCCGATGGCACGAACGTGGCAAGTATGTGAAGAACGGCGGGTTTAACCTCAAAATGTTCGAGGTCATCACGACAATTCGTGCTTTATGATAACATTTTACGCGCTGTGGCATTTCGTTACAAGTGCCACTTGTCGACGATCTCGATGATTGGTAGATCGTCTTGGATCTTCGTAGATATCTCAAATTTTTGTGGCTATCAGAGCGTCGAACGATAACGACGACGTCGATGACGAGTGCCGTTCGTTATCGTAGATATTATTTCACAATTGTTCTCCATTATAAGAGTACCAGAACGATGGCAATGAACGCGAACGCGACGTTTTGCACCATCACAATCTCGATAAATTCTCGCAGTTAAAAATTGTTAAAAAAGCGATAAGGAGTAACGGAACGCGACATCAACAATGAGCATGTGACTCACGATGCACCGCCGCGCCTCAACTGCCACTTGTCAGCTGGAGCTGCTGGAGTGACATTTGGCGGCAAGATTTGCACTCTCGCAGGGATGATACGCAATCATTTGGGTTTAATGAATCCACATTGAGAAAAGACGCACACATATTTATCCATAATGTGTTTTTGTGAGAAATAATGGAGAGAATGGTCGTAAAAAGACAGAAGCAAAATATATATATATATGTATGTATGTACATATAATTATGTAATTATAGGTTTAAAAAATTAAAAGAAATAAAGCTATTGCTTAAAAATATAATTGTTTAATCTAAATGCAAATAAAGTAAATATTTGTATATTTACTATTTAGTATAGAAACTACTATTTAGTATAGAAATTTAACGTAGCAAAATATTATTTTTTTTAATTTAACAAAAAGGAATTATTGAAAGAACTAAGGCCCGATTGCACCAGCGATTTAAGCGAGATTTAAAACTCATTTTAAAGCCGAAAAAGAGACAGAGACAAAATTTTAAGCCTTCCTTAAAATCAAAGTAACATTGGTGTATTGGGCCTAAATAATGAGAATATATATTCAAAAAAATACAAACTTATATTCGTAGGATAATATAATGTCCAACTTTTTTGCAATTGATTATAATTTCTCATCGTTCTTAGCTTTCTAGAAAAATGAGTCGCAATTTATATAAAATATTAAAAGTAAGTTAGTTTTGCGTAACTATCAGACGTTGTGCAATCATGCAAATCCTTATAAATAATTAATAAAACAATAGAAATTCTATAGGCTCTAATAAATTAAATCAATTAGGAAATAAACAAGCCTTTGAGAACCAATCCTGGATGTGATGCAATAAGTTTTATTGTATATAATAATTAAATAAGAATTTCGATTCTTGTTTGATTCTCTTCAGCAAATACATTAATGAACTATAATATGTACAAAGATTGTCGTTAATTACTCTTAGAAAATTAGATTGTGTTACTTTCGAAATATTGTTCGTCTTAATGTGAACTGTGGATAAAGTATATTTGCATTCATATGTCAAAATTGTCCATTAAATTTCCCAATTTATTACGTCAAAGGTATTATTTAATAAATAAGATTGAAATTAGACTGATGGTATTTTATTAAAAATTTTATTAAAAATTTACATGGATGTTTAAAAATTGACATATTATGCGATGTTGATAACGCGGTTATCTATTGAAATACAATAACACAAATAGACTTTCAATAAAACTATGAAAGAGAAGGAAGCAACAATTTTTAGAAATTAAAATAGCATATGTTTATTCTGTGTCATTTTGTACGTTAAGATCATTTTTTTGTTTATGTATGTAAATCATTTCTGCTGTTAGTCGTTTGTTTAACAACCTATCTGTATCCAAAATTTTAATATTCTCCCAATCGAAATCATGTGCAAATTCCAATCTATGTGCCGTAATGATTGAGAATGTTGTGTTATTTTCCAATTAATATTGTTTCTATGTTCCTGAATAAATAAGTAATGATAATCCGGGAAAAAATGTTTTATATATATGGATATATTTTATATATAATTATATAAGAAACATTTTTTTCCGGGAAGAGAACTTTATAAATTATGAAACGCGATAACATTCATATTAGAATATAGAATTATTTCATGTGTATACGTATATGGTATCAATCATTCTTAATGATAATGGATTTATCCTACCTTCGAGTGAATCTTAATAAATTTTATTTTTATTTTACTATTGCTCTGCTTTAAATTCTTTTGTTTCTTCTTTAATACTATATTATTATTCTAAAATTTCGAATAATCTTTTCTTTTTATCATTATAAAATGCGTGACGCTCTTCCACGGCAACTGCTTGCATTGAAAATAGCGAAGAATTTTATTCAAAGAGAAAATTTCACAGCGCCGACAATATAAAGTCTATATTTACTCATTATTTTCTTAAAAGCAAGAGAAGCATTTCCATGCAAGATTTCTCGAGAAAGAAATTCCAATCATAAAAAATTTCCTTCTTTTCATTTAAGTGTAAATGTGCGTTCCATCGAAAGTTATTTGTATTATCTCTATTAACTTTTACAGAAATCTAATATTGATCGATTTAATATCGATACTAACCAATTTATTACTAAAAAACAGTAACTAATTATTTATTTAAAATACTAGAAGTACTGAACACAGTTTTTAATATTTAAAATAAGTAATTAATTATTGTCTTTCAATATTGGCCAGTATTAGATTTCTGTAAATAATTAATAAAAAAATAAGAAAATGCAGTGTATGTTAAACAAAAAAATATTGAATCTTTTAATAGTGAAATTTTTTAGCATCTGAAGAAAACTTTTCTAAGAATCGTTCGAATAATTGTTTCAGGTGTAAAAACATGACTTTTGTATTGCGTGCACAAAAAAAATTTTATTATGGAAAGAACGATTTTGCTGAAATATCTAAAAATTTAGCTAGATACACTTCTGAAAATAATTTTGTTGATTATAAAAATAATTATGTAGAAAATTCAAGTATAATGAACATCTATAAAAAATTTTGATATTCTAGTAATTATAGTGTCCTGCAAAATTATTTTACTAGTCCAACAAAGTTATTATTAGATTTATGTATCGTATTAAATTTTTAGATACTTCAGCAAAATTATTTTCTCCATATATAATTCATCTAATGATATGTAGACGAAGAAAAAAAATTTAACTAATTTTAACAATCGATCCTAATTAACGCGATTAATTAAATGCTCAAGGGTCATTTCATGATAGATTTGATCATTTAAATGTTTCTCCTTCGCTGTGTGTAGATCAAAAAACGAAAATTCGATTGAATTTCGTGTGCTAGCGTTAATTCAACGATTTCGTTCACTATTTCTGTTTAGTACCTCCATTCGCTTTTTTTTCCTGTTTTCGCACTTACAATTAGTGCTTAGTCGATGATAAACTTAACATATGCTTTAGTAGGTCAAATCTCGGTAAAGTTCCATCGAGATTGCGAAAAGATCAACTGTATTTCAAAGAACAGGAAAAAAAAAAGATAGGAGTATGATAAAGATTGTGTGAGAAAAGAGAAAGGAGAGAAGAAGAGAGAATAATATATCGAACTCGATCCCGAGTGACGAAGACAAACGAGATTCACTTTGACGTGCCACAGGAAATTCGTATGATAGAAGTGATGAAAAGAAAGATGGATTTTAGCGAAAGAGACAACAGGATTTGACTCTAATACTAAAATAAGCCGGATTACATGGAAATCAATAAATCGAGTAATTCTCTTTACAGCGTAATCTAATCGAGAGAACGTTTTTTTTATCGCAATGCTCACATTCAGCATATTTCCGATATCTCACTCTCGTGTAACTTTTTTTTTCTCATTACATTTTTATTCGTAAAATCGTATTTTATATTAACATTGTCATGTTTCTACTTTATTGCATGTAGCAAGAGTAATATGCTTTCATAAAATTTTTGTATGTGTACGTACTGATTCGTTATGTGAAATGTATTTTCTACTGTGGACTACGACCGAAAGAACTTGAAAAATGCTATGCTCTAGAATATACCAACGAGAGGGAGAGGGGAGAGAGAGAGAGAGAGAGAGAGAGAGAACAGGATAGAATTTTTATTTTTGATATCTAACTCTGTGAATCCATTTGAGCCGAGATGTGCACGTAATGTGCAAAAAAGAAATAAAAAAAAACGTAACTTCACGTAAAAGATCCTAATTAGAGCCGAATTAAAAGGACAGTATTTTATAAAAATAAAGCAGAAACGCATGGAGGCATGGGGAATAAAAATATAACTGTTCATTTATTTCGCATTTAAGTAAATTCATTTAATAGCGATTATTATACTATGAATTTAATTAAGCATGAAAATAACAAACAATTTTTTGCCTCGCAAGTATTGGGAAGTACTTTTTACTTTTTTTTGTTAATAATGTTAATAATGTTGTTATCTCCGCCGTACCGTATGTACTGTTGCGTGTTATTCCTTAATTTATATTGCGATACCGCGAACAATTTGTACGCATTAAAAATCTAGGCGGTCGAGTATAATAACAATTATCATAAATTAAATATTAAATATCGAATGAGGCTATTGGATCGACTTAATGCCCGTTTCATGCTAATTTCTTATCGTAGTCAATTATTTAATCGCTCGTATTCCAATATAGGTTAATGTTCATTGCTGATTAGAAAGTATAATTTAACGCGACTTATTAATATTTCGGAGACACAACATTATGCTGATGGGATCATGTTCTGCTTCTGGAATTCCACAGATTTTAGAAGACATATCATTATCTTATGCCTCAACAGACAAATGATACACTTCGTACTCTCTACATTTCTTGAAAATGAAATTCCACTCAAAAAATGAAGTGATTATCAAATCGCTCAAATTAGAGTGATTTGATAATCACTTCATTTTTTCATGTGTATAAAGTGAATTCTTCTATGTTGTGGAGTGAATATTTTTATTCGTAAAATTAAGGCATGAATTTGAAATATTCTACATCACTATAATCTATAAAAACAATGCAAGAAGTTTAATAAATAAATCACATATTGATCATCGTGTTGACATTATGTTTTGTCGTATATTATATGTAAAAAATAACGACAACATTTCTAAAAATAAAATGCTAATAAGAATCTATATTTATTGAGTTTAACAACAATATTTTTTAAATTAAAACTCTTAGGATATGTTCTGTTTCACGCACGATGCATCATTTATCCTTGTTTAACATTTGCTAAACAATAAGGATAAATGATGTGCATCATGCGTGAAACGGAACGCTCTATAGATGAAGTCATCTTGACTGATATTTCACTCCAAGCGAGTAACACATTCACTATGATTGAGGTTAAACATTCACTCTTACGAAAAATGAAATGTCATTCCATTCTGAGTGGCAGTATTTTCACTTTTTTTTGGATTGGAGTGAATTTTTATTCTTTTTGAGTGAGATTTTATTCTGAAAAATTAATATGATACATAAATAAATTATAGTTAAATAAGATTGA